TTTGGGGTGAGCTCTTATAAGAAATACACAGACGCTACCGTGCATGTACATGTACATGTACCTGTACCGTACCTGTGCACATACACGATATGTACACATGTTCATTTGAGGTGTAGCTTGTGAAATTACCACCGGGTAAAATATGAATAACTCCAGTGTGTCACATTCATACATTTGGCTTCTTTTTAATACGTCATCCTGATCTAATAAAAGCAAGGTTTGTGGGTTTCATTGCTTCATGTAAACGCTGAGGTAATGGGCAGAGAAAACTATCAGCACAATCAACACCTCTGAAAAAGAATACAGCACTCGTAATGGACAACAGGTGTAAATCGTACATTACGCATGTCAAAGTTTGGACATTGTTTTCATTTCATTTATTAATTTCTGAGAGTAAAAGTTACGATCAAACAAACACACATGTTAAGCAACACCCCTACAGGATTGCAAAAAAAGCAACCTGAATTACTGTCAAGTTGTTCTCCTAGGTCACAAATGAAAAACAGGAATGGAAAGAAATACATGACCCGATAAAGGGAATGGTAAACAAGACCGTAATTTTGTATGCAATATACAATGTAGCATAAGGGTACCAGTACCTGTTACAGGGAGTAACATGTGACAAGGTCTTCTAATGAGAACTGGTTTTTTTCCTGAGCCGAACAGATCCTCACATCAATCATCATGTGAGTGCCCTTCAAATTCTGTCCAGTGTCTTGATAAACAAGCCCCGAGGCAACATTTGAGCCAGGGTACATGATTTTAGAAAGCAACTGGGTTCTGTGACGTCCATCATTTAAGAATATTTTGAACCAACTACATGTAGAACTGAAGTACATGTACAGTGTATAGAGAGGCGTTAAAATCAATATTCAATTATAAAGACTTAAATACATGTTACATGTATGTCTGTACATGTATGGGCATGTAATTTGACATGTGTACAATACATACATGTACATTTGGAATGCACTGATGACCTTGATGTGACAGGAAAGAAAAGTCACTTACTGTAGGCCTGACGGTGGTAACAATCCTATGAGTTACAGTGTACACAAGGGCTAAGGTAGTGCAAACGCTGAAGCGTTATAAATGGTAGAACTGGAGTGATGGATGCATTACATATGCAGGTGTATGTCACATGTACCAGTACAGTACATGTATGGACCCGTACATGTACAGGTGTGCTGTTAAGTATGGAAAACACTCTTGACTTCCACGGAGCATCAACCCCAGATAACATCAACCATCAAGACTTGCAACCACCGGGTTTCCTCCCTCCCATATTCCGTCTCCGAAACGTGAGACACCCGATCCAGTGCAATTCCTGCATGAACCATTTCAGCGATCCCCTGCAGACACACTGCCTGCAGGCGGACGGACAAGTTGGATGAAGATGGACAGAGCTAGAGGAGGGAAGGGGGGTTGGGAGACAAAAGGGCTTAGGAGAAAGTGGACAATATCAAGTGGTGTGTCCGCCAGGATCCAGCCATCAATTACTATGAGTCATGTATACATGTACCTTGCTCTGGTTATAACATCAATACCATGTGTACCCTTTTTTCACTGCATGCAGGACAGGTCTACCAGCATAAAAGAGGCCGACTACAGAACAGTCATACACAATGAATCCTTGGGAGTTTCCTCTTCATCATTTTCATTCACTTTTATCTTGCATTTAGCGACACATTAGGACATCATGATACAAAGGTTCCAAGACGATATTTTTAACATTCGAGTTAGCAAAATGTACTTAATTTTATTGCATACTATGTAATTTCTAAAACATACATGCTACATGTAGCTAAGAGTCAAAAATCTATTCCTACCAAATGTAGAAATTTTAAGATTAAAAAAAATTGAAAGGTCAAAAAAATTAAGACTTACACTTCAAAGATAACTCAGCCAACAAAAACACCCGTAACAAAATCTCATGACAACTGTTACATGTTCAGTGTATACATGTAGTATAAATATCTTCTCTAAATCAAATACACGTCTATGTATTTAAATGTGTAACAGGTTTTATTTCTACTCTTAAAGCCTCTTATGCCCAGACGCTACCTTATGTAACCAGCAGAAAGCTTCCAGTAGACAAATTGCATCCTGCAATAAAGTGGGCGAGGACCTTGGAAAATTGTAAGGCATCAATGCATCTATAAGTCAGCAAGGCCGTGATGCAGACCGACTATAGATGCACTAGTCAAGAGACATAAGGTAGCACCAATGACTCATGCTGTGCATATAATGCTGGTTCAAGTCCATCTCATTTACATAATTCAATGTCATTTCAAGCAAGACAACTCCCTGGGGCTCCGACTATTTACACAGCCCATTATAAAAGTGACAAGAATGACATTATAATGAACATGTTTCAATACCGGTAATTTGGCAAGTAAACAAACAGATAATGCATGACAGGTATGCTTTCACAGATGAATGGAACAAAGTTCTGCGTACACTGTACAACCTACATGTATGTACATGTACGTACATGTACATACGTGTACATGTGTAGAAAAGTGCATACATGTACATGTATACATGTACATGTATGTCCTAGTGCATGTGCTCCAACATGCACTGTAAGTACATGTGCTATACAATGTACAAACGCGATCCTTTCTAGTAAATCACAAGTACATGTACATGTAACCACATGCACATGTAGCCAGCACAAGCGAATGTGAAGTGTCACTCTTTCCTTTTATGATGGCAGGTAAAATTGACTTGCCAGTTTTACTCCCAAGGCGCTAACACATCATCACTTGTAAAATGGTCCCATACAGTGTACAGTGCTTAGCTTTCATGTGCCATTCTGATAGGCCAAATCCACAGGGAAACCCATTTTTGATTGCATTCTCTGAAACTACCTTACTCAATGAAATCTGTCAAATGAAATGGTGCCAGACAGTTTGGTTTCAATGCCTTATTTTCATTTTTTTTTAATGTTGCTTGAATCATTCACCGGTAGACCACACATACGGTACGCATGGATGTAATAAATCTCATATGTTGAATTATTTATCATTTGTCACAAAATTAATCTGCAATGCGTTTTACGTCATAGCTTTCATTTCTATTCTTACATGTACATGCAAGTTGCCAAAATAAAAAGTTAACCTCGCTTTCAATTCAACATGGCTGACTTGTGAATACTGTCAATTGCGCTGTAGGGCCTTCTCAAAACAGATACACCCATCACATACCAGTGCGTGTATACCTGAAGACAAGAGCAAAATGCATTTTCCGAGGAAGAAAGTTATAAGGCTGCTAGTGGAGCAATTTGCTCAGCAGAGAAAATTGCAACTGGCAGTAACAGGGTACCAGCCAAAACGAGAGCAAGAAAATTTGCTGAGCAATAATTTTCACAACTCAGGCCAATATCTCTAAACTACAGTCACTACAAACATTCTCATATTATGCTCATCTCATTGAGGTAGGTGTCATTGATTTATAAACTCCTGCCATGTGGCATCTACTTTCATTGCGGATAATTCAACGACTTCCTGATTCAGTGTATAGCCAAGGAGCACGCACTCTCCTGAATAGTAACAGGTCAGGGGTGGAAAACTAATGACTTCCTATTCAGATATAAAGACAGGTCAAGTAAACCAAATGCTGAACGATAAATTTATTCTCTGTCCTCTCCGATTTCGTAATATCATCACGTGTCAGCGGTGAGCTTTCTATCTGAAACAATAACCAAGTCTAAAGCAAAGCCAGCTTATACCGGGGTATGTATACCATAATGTGACACACCATGCTTCCAATTTTTCTAATTTAAATAAATGTTCTGCAATTTCCAAAGCAAATTCAATTTCCTGCAGAGTGCAAGCAAGTTGGGAGGACCAGGTTCCCCGACTGCACCTGTATTTTGAAGAAGCAGCAATCAGACCATCTCTAGACATAACCAAAATAAATCACGCATAGCCAAATAAACAGCCCTCCCTTAAAATAAACAAGGCTGCATTGCTGCAAATTAACATTCACTGCTATTTGGACAATTCTAACTTGAGTCTTTAGAAAGGTTCTACAGTTTTACAAGCTCATGCCTCATTTTTCTGTTTTCATACTTGTGCACAAAATACTGCAAAATTTCCAGCAACAATTTGGCTTTTTCTCCTATGTTCCACAATTTCAATTTCATACTGATCAAACTGGATGAACGAAAGAACATTTCAGGCACTTGTACATATAAATGTACAAGTGTGTACAATGACCATGTGTTGAATTTCACGGCCAAGAAAAAGTAGGCGAGGCTCTTCTTGACCCTTGACCCCAAAATGCAAAAAAATGCCTTGAATAAGAGATAAAAGCTAAGCCAACGGAATGTATGTATGTAAATCATCAGTGTCATTATAATGAGTACCGGTATCTTCAAGAGTGAGATAGCAGCTTGACAGCCTGGCTGCATAGTTTACTGTTATCAATCAATATCCTGGCAGGTCTACTGGTTGGGTATCTCGTCGTTGGATTTGTAGAATGATGACAAGCATGGGCGCTGTACCGGTTCTCCAGCCATCAGCCAATAAGCAAATTGATCTCACAAAGCAAAATGTGAAACCTGATTATGATACATGTGCAGTACATCACATGTGAACATACGGCTCACATTATGGTAAAGAAGGGAGTTCTTGTTGATCAGTTTAAGGCAGAGCGTTAAATTACTTTTAATGACTGGAACCGCTCATTAGGCTACAAAGTAAAGTTTTCATATTTTGGATAAGACTGTCTCGTAACAACTGTCTTCTGCATATTTGGATGACCAAAGAGAAACAAAACTTCCAATTCAAAACAGAAAGTAAAAACTGCCAGAGAACATTAATCTAACAGTTCCAAATCCTCTAATTTCAACAGGATTTTATATATACCCCAGAGGGTTACAGTTAACAAAAAAACTGTTGAAGATTTCAATGTGCTTGGTAACTTGGTTACCAGCTGCTGAGAACCAGTCAGATAACGCACATAGCAGAGCAAGAAATTATAATTGGACATACCGGTATGATATTTTCTGATCAGCTCTTGGTCAACCAAAAACAGTAGCGGTTGGTCCAAAAAATACCTGAAAGAATTCTCTGTAAAAGAGCATAAGCAAAGTCTTGAAAGCGTTAGGCTCTGGTTTTTGTGCTTACAACATTTGAACTACATTGTACGAGGGCGTGTTCTCATGTATCCTTGCCCTCAAGTAACAGCAGAATGAAATTGGTCATACATACATGTATATTTGTCTCACAACTTTTTGGGGCCTGATTTAACTAATATCGAATGACATTTTGACAGGTAGCCTCTTGTTGCTCGCAGAATTTTCCAGTACTCTGGAAATTTCTCCATTAAAAGCTTCCAAAATGAACTTTCCACCATGATCTCGAACTCTCACATTTGTTTAGGACAGAATGTGGAATATTCACTTTTAACCAGTGGCCCAATGCAGCACTATAATCCCTGACAATTCAGTGATACAGATGACCGCACACTAAGGTCATCTGATCATCCTACAATGAAATGATTGTGAAATTGTCAGGATAACACATTGCAACACATTTTGTACACAACTTGGACGAAAGCACATCCGCCTTAATGCACCTACAGAATTTAGAGCAGTCTGTGACATTATTTTTCCTCCATATGCATGATACAACCCTGATAAAAGTCACTTAATTATGCGATAAAAGCTTTGTGCAAACAGCCGTAGATATTCATGTGTACATGTAACTTCACTTTCCCTGAATCCTTAAGGTTCAGAAGGGTCTTGTCAATGTCAAGAATAAATCATGAAATAAATGATCAACACCCAAAATAACTCCATTTCTGGCTCCAAGGCTGGTTTGTGTTGCAGAAAATGAGACTAACGACTCTCCTACAAACTGAAAGTGATCATAGGGAAAAACAACCAGGAAAAAGGAAGTGGGGAGAGAACAAGACAGTAGAGCAGAGAAAAATTTTCTACTCAAAATGTTTTTTTCAAAAAGAAGGGAGACAGCGCTTTTTACAAGGTGGCGGATATTTCCAGGATTGCCAATCTGGATTTCTTTCCTGATATGTCCTGTATTTGTATCTGAAGGAGTTTCCAACATATCAAACTGGTCTTAAACTTGCACACATGCTACTTATTTCGCTGGAAACAAATAAACAGTCAACATACATGCATGGCAAATAAAACCTTTAGGAAAATCAGGCAGCCGACAAGGACGAGGAAACTCGTTTTATTTTTTTCTACTCAGATCGACATGCAAAACTCAGTTTGTATTTGGTGGGCTGGAGTACTGGAGGGGGGGTGTCTATTCCAATCAAATCTGTTTCTAAGCATGCATCATCCTTTGAATACCAGACGTACATGTAAGCAGATTTACATACTATACAAGATTATGCATCGCGATTGCTTCCAACAAGGAATTATTGTAATTTTAACTCAGAGGGACAGGCTCAATATTTTCAATGAGATGCATAACTTGCTACAGATGAACATCGCAGGCTTGCTAATTCATACTCACGCACTCTTAAGTACAGCAAGCTTATCAAGTTAATGCATAACATGCGCCAACCTGATTACTCCCGAATGAGGAATGTAAACTAGGCATCAGTTTACTAGTTGTAATGTGCCCACAATAGCACAAGTACTAATGTTACAATAATATTACACAGAAGTGTTGCTAACCAAAGAAAAGGAAACAATCCACAGACTGGGTATCTAGTTGGTAACAGGATAGGCCTGAGTGGTGAACATTCATTACCAAGAAAAGTTACAAACTGCTGTGAAGCTGTAAATCAGACAAAATGGTCATCTACCGGATTATTACACAAACGTGACACTCATCATTTCTTCCATAATAACTTTGATAAATAAGACTTGCAGCATTCCATGGTGGAAATGGACTAAAAAGACGGCTCGCTATAACACCATGTGGATAGATATCTTATTGGAAGGGGTACCAGTAGGGTTCTGATAAGAGCTGGCCAGTGTGTACTCCACGTTTTAACCGATGTGCTCTGCATCAAGTACACACTCAATGGTTCTAATCAGAACTTTTTGGGTAACTCTTACAACAAGACATGTATCCACATTACTACAAGCCCTCTATGGTTTGGCTAAAAGCTTGATAAGATAGCATACCAGAGTCAATAAAAACCTCTCATTTTGAGATAAGTGATCAATGACGACTGTGCAAAATCAGGCTGGAGTTGCTTCATTTGTAAGAAAACTTATTCGTGTTAGGAAATTAAGAGCTAGAGTTGAAATAGAGAGCGTGCAAAGTGTGCCCTAATTGAGGACTGGTGTTTGTTCAGAAAAAGTTCCATATGCGGACACCACTTGATTCCTCATGCATAAACCCTTTGACACTAATCTGAAAAATTCAAAATCTTTTCTAAGAAAACGACTTAGTATTTTCCCTCTTAAATTGAACTTTTCTGGACATATTTTTGCTTTCTGATGGATAATAGGTCACTGTAGGGAATAATTACTGACATCGATGTATGGAACTCTTGTCCTTATAAATGCTGTTCTAAGTAATGTACATGTACACACAAAGACAGATTTAGGGGGAGACCTCTTAACTTTAGGGACAGTGAATTTTAAATTGATTTATTGCACTACGTGTTCCTGTATGTAATGGCTATGGGCTTCACAATACGCAATCGCATGGACCCTCCAAGTGTGTGACTGCATCCCTCCTTTCCAAATATCTTCGATCCACCCCTGCACATGAGTTGAGTTGACCTGTTCATTGTCACTAATTTTCTCTTTTGCATAATGACAGCACCTTCCAAGTAAGCCAGTTGTGAACGAGTTTGCAAGCTTGCCTGGCAAGCACAGACATAGCAGAAAGTGGCTTGAGTGTGCTCTTGAGCATTTTAATTAAATTTCAACCGAAAAGATTCATTGAACTGATTGCGGATCAGTCAGCTGGTGACCAGACTAAAATTCTACTGATGCCTTACCTGAGTCGCAGAGGCTGACAAGGGTTTGGATTTTAAGCAAGCCAACAAAATGCTGAAAGTCTGCCACTCTAAAATACTGTGTGGTTTGCAAGTTCATCAACTACATGTAGCGGTACAATTTGATGAAATCCAAGAATAAGCCAATTTCCCTTTCCGCTGCCATGTTGACTTTAGCACCCTTACGCGAGTACGTGAACAAAGCAAGAGGGGAACAAATTGGGGAGGAGTTCTATATATATACAGATGCCAGTAATTATTCCCTACAGTGACTTCTTAGCCATCAGAAAGCAAAAACATGTCCAGCAAATTTCAATTTAGGAGGGAAACATGAAGTAGTTTACTTAGAAAACACAATATTTCAGACCAGTCTCATACAGTTTGTGCACAGGGCCAGGGTGGCAGGTGGCATCTGTATACCGGTATATGGAACTCTTTCCACAAATTGTCTACAACAATAAAAATCACGAGTATCCATCCTTCAACCATTACGTAACGTTGTGAGGAATTTGTTCCCCTGTGTTTACTCTTCTGAGCATGCGCACATGAAACATGAAAAAGGCTTAGCCTATCCTCCCAACATTTCTCATGTTTCTTCGGTGTAGGCTTGTCATTCATGTTGTTTCAGGTTCATTACTACCTTTGAACATGTTGAATCATAAATTGCATCAATAATGTTGTATTTCATCAAAGAACAGGAAACTACAGTGCTTTTAAGACTTTTAAAAATCAGGCCTACCCCACTTTCTGAATGTTTGTGCTGCATGAGAGGAGTGCATGCTATAGACATGGTGTGATTGGTGAGTGGTAGATAACCATGCTGAACCCATCAAGATTATGTAGGCTTTCAATGGTCCCTAGGGGGTTAGGGTTAACAACTTGTAAGACAATACTCAATGTTCAGTAATAATAATAATACACATGCTCACATCGATTCACACTGAATGGAAAATTATGCAATTCAGGAAGCTATCCCTCGACCGCTTTCCGTTCACTCTGAATTCCACAATTTGGATGGCCAGTTTAAACCTACCGGTACTTAGCACAGAGTTAATAATGGTATCGTGAAGTCAGTGGTTGTTCCAAAACCACCAGACCGCCGTGCTCTGGAAGCATTGGGAGAAACAAACCTTGTTTTCTGACAGGCATTGACTGAAATACGCCTAATGAGGACGTTTGGTCCATACTCTTCCTTGCTGAATAAGCATAGATTTGGTCACGCCATACTGGCCTATTTAAATGCAGAGAAAATAAAACCAACAGGAACACAAAATCAAGAGCAATTGTACTTACAAATTCACCAGGCACGTCTTGCAAGCTTTTCCTCTTTTCAAGCTTCGTGGTCGAGCCGGTTATTTGAGACCGTACGTACGCGTCTTCTCGCCTTCAAAGCAAGGAAACAAACACGCCGCGTGCATGGCAAGCTAGCTGGCTTGCTTCCGTACCGTGCGTCAAACCCAGGTTAACCGAAATGGAATAACCCCACCTCCTGGTTACATCAGCATAATATCTAGGCAGCAAAAAACAGGGGTGGGGCAATTATAATAATTATTCAATTTATAGAATATTCAGAAATTCAGTCAGAAGTCCGTGAAAAGCCCTTCGTTCAACTTGCTGTACAAAATCATTTGAATCTGTATGATTACACCTGGTTCTTTTTAATGGAGATTGTAATCGACTTTTGTGGAATGAATATAAAGATTAGTTTTCACCGCGGATTTCAAATTTGGTATCGTCCTAATAATTGTCCAATTGTGCTGCTTGGTGGCGCTATTCCCAAACTACGAAGCGCGCTTAGTTTTCGCGCAAGTTGTAGGCCGCTCACGTCACGTAAACCCCCCTGTTGTCAATTTCCAGAGTGGGAATGAACGTCTTTGACATTCGTACACACCGTCTCGGGAACTGAAGCTTGAGTGGAGTGAACATCGATACCGTGCACGATATGGGGCCGATGGGTCCCCCCCACACACACACAAGTGTGTATTTGCCTGCAACTGGGGACCCCCTATTGTTCCTCTTTTGTTTGTACTTCAACTTTTTTAGAAGACCACCCATATGTTTTGTACACAGTTGTCAATCGGGGACCCTCTGTCAATCGGGGACCTCACGGTCCTCTATTGTTCAGGGTCCCCAATTGAATGCAGAAACAAACTCATGACCAATCCCTATACACACTCTATAGACTATTGTTACCGAACACATCCCCTCTAGAAGTCAGTAAAGAATTCCTGAGATTCCGATCAAATAATGACCAACACAAAGGCGGGGGGGGGTTCTCTCGGCCCATATCTTGCATTATGTGAAGATCACATGGGATGGATAAGGGAGCCTATTTCCCCCACACTTTTGACTAGGTGTAGTAAAATTGAAACGGAGACAATCATTTTTCTATGGCGGCGCTCTTCAAAGAGGACAGTTAACAATTGTTGCCTGCTGCGTAGGGGTCCATGGTGTTTTGCACACCCGAAGTGAGAAATGGAACTCGAGGCGGAGCCGAGGGCGCCCTTTGCCCCGAGCCAACAATTGTTTTGTCATACCACGGTCATAGATTTCACTGGAACGCTCTTTTATCTGTAATATGTGCATATTTTATTGCAAGATAAGTTATAACACTCAGACAAATTAAAACGTGAATACTAAATCAGATAATTATAAATTTCAAGGAAAATTATTGATTGCAATGTCTTTTGTTGACTTATTTCATTTTTTTGGGAGGTTAGAAATCTGAAATTTATAACAAACTTCTTTAACAGAGAAACCTCTGACCCGTAAAGGATTGGGGGGTTTGTCGACTGGTTGAATTTCATGACATTATTTGCACCAATATCTGTTGAAAAGTATTGACAAGATTGAAGAGCAGACGAGAAGATACAATGACATGAGCGTTTTAAATAAATAGCAATGACGATCAGGAAATCAGGAAAACTACTCACAAGTTTCACACATCAAATTAAAGCTCACAGGCTCATCTTTCATTTTCCTTTCAATTTTCAGTGCCTTAAACGATGAGTTTGGAAGATATTTCTCTCCAGAGAAAATTACCCTTCACAAAACAGTCATGAGGCCCATCGCCATTTTGAAAATTGATGCCTATACTCCATTACAAAATCATGAAAGCGATTTTGAGGGACTGGTTTGGTCCAATACTTTCAGAAATACAAGCTGGCAGTCCTGCCCCTGGATTCCATCCTCTTTCTAAATAAACTGCCTCGTCAAAGCGCCACGAAATACTCAAATAGCAGAAAATCATGATTCCGTCTTCGCAGGCAATTCTGGACCTCCTTACTGGCCTGTAACCTACGGGACACGGGGCTGTAAAGTAAACCGTTCTTTAGAAAATGGCGTTCATGAAAAAATGGGGGTGACCTGAGTCGGACGCTACATAGACTAGAATTGGTTTGCTCGTTGGAAAAGGCAATTCAAATACAGTTGGCGTAATGTTTATTCTTCTATCAAAATTATGAACAGCTTGAAATGATATTATCGCCTGTCAAACTGTTTAAAGTCAGATGCATGTGACGTACCAATTAATTAAATAAGTCTCTCATGATAGTTTCATTAAAGAATGTGTTCATAGTTTAGTGTGTACTGTAAATATCTCTTTTACGAGCGTGTGGATTTTCTGCAGAATTCTTGAATACCCATATGTGAAAGAAGTGTTTGGAAATTATGTAAATGTAAAATTATGTAAACTGTAACCAGTTCAAAACAAAAGAAATGGCGGGAAGGGAAAAAATATCTCGTTGTAAATTTTTACATTAATATAAGGTGAAAAACTAGGACGCAGACTTTGATGCTGCATCGAGGCTGCTGATGAGTACTACATAATCTCAGAGAACAAACGAACTTGTGATCAATACATTTTGTAATGTGACATGTTAATCTTAATCTATTACACTGCCGATAATGAGAAATGCTGAATCTGGTCCGTCACTACATCTAGACTTGGATAATATCCATTGCGAATGTAGGAAATGCACCTATTATTTATTCTTAAAATCCAGAAAGCTTCTGCCCAAGCATCTGGAATTACAATAATTTTGGCCATGTGTTGCTCACGTTCTTGACAGTGGAGAGAGCTAAACAAAGGGTTTAGCGACCTCAGCGGCTTACCTCGCAATGAGGGAGGGAATGGCGTGGCGGAGTCGAGTCTAGAGGACAGAGGAGTTTGAAGAAGTCGTATGGTTTAAATGAGTTTTAAAAATACAAAGTGAGAAGGAATTTCCCTTTCAGTCATAATTGCTGAGAGTTAAAGTCTTCTGCTTCTGAAAATTCCGGAAATGGCCCAAAATGTTTGTCCGATCCAATTTTTCGTAGATTCTCGGAAACTGTCCTCAATATTTGGAATTATCCATAATGTATAAACTGCTTTTCTTTGGTTTTTCCGCGTGTCACACGATTTGAACAAATCTGTGCCTTATTTATTTTTCTTACAGTGGAGCTTTAAAATAGATTTTTTTTGCAAATTGTTCGTAATGATGATTAAAAAACAAAACAATAAGCTAGATCCGCCCCTGGATATTCTTTGCAAATGTTCAAGTAAATGTTGAATGACTGAATCTCGAAATGATTTCAATTATGCTCATTTTGTCTGTTAGTTATTTACATTAAAATATTCCAACAGAATTGTCTTGCTTGTTTCAAAAAATCAGGTTAAGAATTCAATGTAGGGGGCCTAGGTATAACAGAGTTAGTTAAGACGGTTGCTGGCATAGTTACCTATTAAATAAGTTCCTGGAAACTTTAATTTTATGATAATTCACGCGGTAACAGTCTCCCAACTTAGTCAGATAGATAGTTGATGACAGTTCAACAAACCTGTCTTGATCGGGGCAATATTTCTCTATGAACTCATCACAGCCATTGTCTGCAGATAAAACAGGTATTAAAATTGCATTAATAATGACGTCATAATGTGTCTACTGGCGGTGCATAATTAAGTCGTGAATCCAAAGCTGGCCATTTTTTATCATGTTCCCTGAATCTGTCATATTCAATGCAATCTGGTAAATGGGATGGTACCAGACTTTTAAATCTCACTTTCATTTCTTAAATATGGTTTAAACTATTTGACTTAAAAATGTGATGGTGTTCGCTGTGACTCGAGTCGTTATCCGTCGTACAGTTGTGTAACCGTGGGGAGGGAAAGGCACGGGGGAGGCACGGGGGAGGCACGGGGAGCAGATGCCCGTGCCCCCCCTTAAAATCTTTGAATAATGTCCGTTGTAATGTAGTTGTAGCTTACTTTCTTGTGGTGCCCCCTTGAAAAAAAGTGCACCCCGGGCGCCCCACCACCCAGCAATTTAGGCCTAGTTATGTCACTGCCGTAGGGACTCAAGTCAAGTCGAGTCGCCAACAGTTTGACTCGAAAGGGACCCGGGTCGAGTCATTGGGTCGTATGAATAAAAAGTAGCATTTGCTTTTACTACCGTTTTTGAAGCACTTGTGTTTGTATGAATAATAACGAAGCAAACGCTTTTACTTTAGTGCAATTGCCAAAAGTAAAAGTATTTACTTTTTACTCTTCAAGTTTGTGCTTGACAAAAAGCAGTTGCTTCATTTTGTATGAATAAAAATGAGTAAGTTTTACAGAATTTTTGACATTTTTCAAGACTGGGTCAGGACAAGCTTGAAAACGAAGAGCATTTACTAATGTTCAAAATAGCAGCGTTCATGAATGTCATTCGAAGGGAAACGCTGTATACCTTTAGGGGGAATCTCAAGAACCAGATGCAGGCAGTTGTAAGGATTTGAGGGTTACAGAGCAATTTTCTCCAACAAGGTTTTTGCGATCAAAATTACTCCCATCGTGCTTATCTGCCATGCTGAGGTCTCGAGATACTACAGTGTCGTAGATGCTGAATAGTAAAAGAAACGTTTTATTCCTAAAAATTCAAGCAATTGCTTATTCTTATAGCTTTTACTTCTCAGTAAATGCTTTTGCTGTTTGCTTGAACTTCATAGCATTTGTGTCGTATGAATGAAAAGTAGCATTTGACTCGAGTATCACAACTCAGAGTGCAACATAAATTTGTCTCGTAAAGTCAACTGAAGCACGCCACATTTCATCCACGCATAGGGCAAAACAAAACCACTAGATGTACCTATTAGAACAATTACCCGTTATAAAAAATGGTGGATTGATATGCCAGTTGGAAACAATCAAAAAATGATTTATGAACACCACAACTGTTAATTTCCACAAATTCAACAAAATCTTTTTCCTGAAAGATCATCTTTGTAACATTTGCCACCCCACTGGATCCAAGTACT